AAGTTTGATATTAATGCAATATGTGTTGTTAATAAGTGTAAATGCAAAATATATTTTTTATCAAAAAAAAAAAACTTCTTTTCGGTGGCCGAAAAGGGCAAACACGCTGCAACGGCCCTAAATCTTTCCATTAGGAAATGTTCTGAGCCGTTTGCACCTGTTGGCCACCGTACATAAGTTCACNACTGCTATCCTACTAAAATGCTGTACAAATCAGATGTATTATGTAATAAAGAAACATTTTCCGAGTAAAAAAATATTTTATTGAAAAAAAAAAATAGAATTTTTTTCCCCCCCTTTATTATTCAATATCGCGATAAATACCGTACCGTGGACTTGTTATCGCGATATTATCGTACCGTGAGTTTTGGGTATCGTTACATCCCTACATTTCAATGAGTCCTCTCTCTAAGTGTTTCTGTCTTCTTTGCATTTAATTGTGACTTTGCTTCCTGTCTCTGCAGCAGGTTATAGCTGCCATGGAGACACAGCTTTCCAACGGGCCGACGTGCAACAACACAAGCAACGGGCCGAGCACCATCTCCAACAACTGCTCCTCCCCGGTGGAGTCGGGCAGCATGGAGGACAGTAAAACGAACCTAATCGTGAACTACCTTCCTCAGAACATGACGCAGGAGGAACTCAAGAGCCTGTTCGGCAGCATCGGAGAAATCGAGTCCTGCAAGCTAGTTCGAGACAAAATCACAGGTAACACAAATGTTCTCAGATGCTGTGGGCTATGAATGTGTCCGCTGCATCGTTTTCACCATGTTTTTATAAAATAAATGGCATGCAAATTGAAGGTAGAGCTCTAATATAATCAATTAATCATCTCAGGGGGAGTTCACGGGAATTTTACGAGACAGGAACACATTTTTTCGGATGTATTTTGATGTTGCATGAATGCAGCATTTGATATTTTGCAATATAGAGTTTTTTCCTGCACCATCACTGTGCATCTCTTTGTTGAGAATGTTATAAACTTGCTCTACATTGCAGGTTCATAACGACTGTTTTTAAATGCTAAATACATGCCTTAATATGTGGCAATAGGCTAGTGCCATAAGCTAAATAAATACAACATGACGGAATTTGAAGTGGTTACTACTCAGAGGGTAGTAACCACTTTCATTCGTTTGGACTCCAAAAACCTTAGTTTCAGAGTTTCAATTAAATGAAAAGTCTATATACATGTGTTTATGTGTAGTAGAAGAGCATTTAAAACCCTACCTGTATCACACATAGTATCATTAAAGTTTACTTTGAAAAGAAAAGTCTGCCAGTTTCTTAACTAGACATGGGTATATGATCCTCAGTAAAACAATTAAGTACTAATTAACCTTTAGGTTAACATCTGTAAGACGATATTTAATGTCTTTTGGAGTTTAACAGTTAAGGTTTGTAATAAACTGTTTGTAAACTGCGTGTTTTATAACGGACACAAACAGCGTTGGGTCAGGACCAATGCAGTCTCGCTATTTGACTTTACTTGATCGTTGTTGTTGGTTTGGAATTGCACTTAATGTGGCAGACCCTCCATATGAACTCGCTAACGGACAAGGGTGTAGGGATTGGTTTGGTATTGGGCCGATACTTGAGTGAAAGGAGATAAAGTAAACAAGCAGTTAGAAATCAGGCTGCTGCAAGGAAAAGACTAGTACACCTTTCAACGCGAATCAGCAGTAATCAGCTTGGAAACAGTTGTACAGATGCATTATGGGTGTTCCCATGCTACCTTGTGTGTCAGACTCTGCAGAGTTTAATAAAACTGCTTAATGTCTGGGAAGTTAATGCAGACCTGCATATTTTATGATCATTTCTAGATTGCATATTTTTACAGAAAGAAACAAGTAATAGTAAAACAGTGGAAGCTTCTGATTGGATTATCGAATGTCTGAATGCAGATGGTGTGTGTGTGGCTCTTAGAAATGCCGCTCCCTGACTTTAGAAGATTCCTATGCATTAAACGAATGGATTTTAATGCAGATATTTTAAGAGCCTCCATCTGAAAGGTATTGACATGTTTAAATAATGGATAGATGATCGCAGTAACCAGCAGAATTGGGTCGTGAAAAACTGACTTTGAACTCAGTTGGGTAAAAAAAAGAGTCTGTTAATTTAATTCAGAGCCTGAGTGCTTCCTGAGGCTGGCTGCTCTGACTTCACATGAAACGTTCTCCCTGCAGACGCTTGCTCTGTCTCTGCGTTTTCAGGGCTGTGGATTTAAGCCAGCCAACATCTGGGTGCTGCATCAGATGTTGAGTAATTACGGAGAGTTCCTCGCTGCATCATCTCCGTTGTCTTCCTCCCACTATCGGCTGCTCTGTATCCCAGCAGGAGGCCTCTCCACCTGAAGACAGCTCACAGAGAGTACTTTGTTTCATAGGAGGAGTCAGAGCTTCATAAAGTGTCATTTCACCCTCACGTATGCTTCTGAGGTGCAAAGTGAACTTTAGTTTATGAACTTCTCTTGCTCACATAAGAGATAGTCACGCTAGTTATTAAGCCTGGAGGCATGAAGTACGGTGGCCAATGGGTGCAAACGCGCTACAACGACCCAGAACATTTCCATTTGGAGAAATGCGCTGCAGCTTTAGCAACGATGCAAATATAAAAACTTGATGAAACATGCGCAGCCTTTACTAAAAGCACTGAAGTAATGACCTTAGAAAAAACTATATATAAATTTGCTCTGCTTCTCTGTTTTAATTCTTATTAATTGTAACATATTTGGACATTTGAACAAATCACCTCTCAAGAAGCACATTTTTCTTCTTCTTGATATAAAGAGAAACTAGTTAAAATGTTAGGGAGTGATTGACATGTTTGCACCTTGATCTGGTCTCTGGACATGCCTTGATGTGAATCTGACCCAGATTTCCTCTCATATCAAGTTTTTATCACAAGTTTTCTCTGTGCTGTATTAATATGCTAAAGCAGCTTGAGCTGCTGAACTTGACCGCACTGGAATTGCAGAGAGACCCAGAGAGTGGGCGGAGGAAATTGAATTGTCTCTTTGCACATAGAGAGTGGGTGTCAATCTATTGTACATTTAGAGGTAATCTGCAGAGGGAGGGGAACACACTGTGAGAAGCAGAGCAATTGCTGTCATTTTTAATTTAAGACATGTTTGTGAAAGGGTTGTTTAGAGGATTTATTCTATAAAAAACCTGCAGACGGGCCTGACCTGCTGTTTCCTTCACCTGCTGCCAAATAACCAAAACCCACTGACTACATGATGCCGTTAGGTTTAACAATACAGAGCCGCAGGGATTTCTGTGGTGGACCCTGAAGGCAGCATCTTCCTGCTTCAATGGGACTTTTCCATTGGATTATGGATTAATGCAGAAAATAATATCTGTGGCAATATTTGTGTTACTTCCAGGTTTTGTTCAGCAGGATAATCTCCACACATTATCACCACTTATGGTTTCTGAAGTAAGAAGCTAATATTAGGCTATAAAGGAACTACAGCACGGTCACATGACGTCACATCACCACTGCTAAGCTAAAGGCTGGTAAAGTTGAGCGTGATGATGCTTTGTACTCATTTAGGCACTTGTTAGCAACTGCTGTTTTTAAATTCACCAGTTAAAATACATCAGTTAAATACATTAACTGATGTATCTTATGTTGCTTCAGCTTGTGTTAACAACAGACCTTATTTCCGGCTCACAAGTCATGTTAGGTTTTTAGGACTTGTATTGCCGAGTTATGTCAGGGTTTTAGGTAGGGATGCTCCGATCGATCTGCCGCCGATCCTTATCGTCCGATATTCACTCTCTGCCGATCGATCGGTGCTCTCTATAAAGGCCGATCGGCAGAGCCGATCACATGACGTAAAATACATGACACTTTTCTCTGTGTGCGGCAAAACAAGCTTGCCAAAATGGCTTCACCAGTCTGGCAGTATTTTAGGGTGTCCGAAAAAGACAGTAAAATAGCGGTATGCAACGTGTGTGAAGCAGAAATCCTGCAGCTCCGCCCGCTGTGACGGACCGGAGAGAGAGAAACACACACTAACGGCCCGTCTACACTACAGGCATCAAAAAATCTTGAAGCTGGGCGTGTCTGAAGCTTGGCGATTTTTTGCGAGCAACGCGACCAACAACCAATCACACGAATCTCCCGCCCCCGACATACAAAGCAATAGCAATGTTAAAACGAAGTAAACTGGATATAAACTCTCCAAACAGGCGAAAAACCTACCAGTTTCACCCACTGTCTCTGCCACCTCCCTCCATGCCTGGTTCCTCCGGTTTGTATCCCGGTAAATAGTTCTGGTCGTAAAGAACCGGGTGATTTGCTACCGTAATATCTTGTTTGGAATATGAGGTAATTAATTGCGGTCTGGCTCTCCCAGCTTGCACGCGGTTTGATTGGCTGCGCTTGCACTGGCGGGATTTGCATAAACGGGATTTGATTGGCTGATGCCAAGCATCGACCCTCAAAAGTTGAACATTGTTCAACTTTTGTTCAACACACTCAAAAGTTGAACATTGTTCAACTTTTGATGCCGATAGATGCTCGTGATGCTTGCAAAGCCATGCCATGCTCCCCACAATGCAGTTCGGCGAAGATTAAAAATCTTCTACGTCACCCCATTCAAGTGAATGGGCGAAGCGTTGAAAGCATTTTTCGATGCCTGTAGTGTAGACGGGCCGT